GGGGGTGGAACGACGACGACGATGAGTGCCCATCAACATCAAAGCTTGCGCACCTCAACCCCTCCCCGGACATGTCACGTGACTTAAGAAACATCTTATCTAAGGTCATATTTAACACTTAAACAACACTTAAACAACATTTTAACAATGCCTCTATGCCTCAGTAAGATAAAATGTTGTATATACATGAATAGAGAGAGTTTGGGCAAATTATGCACACGTTCAGTTCGTTTGCATTCGATCTCTTCGTGGACGTGTGCGGTAAAACATTGCGTTTGCAGTCGAGCTCTCCCACGTTGTCGGCGACGCTTCTCGACTTGAATTGAATCGATGTTCACGGCTGAGACAGTTTTCGGCAAGCCGGAAGAACCCCGCCCCTTCTTTTTGGAGGGTTTTCAAGAAGCGGCGATCCTGGAATGAAATTTGATACTCGAGTCCATCGGCAAAGTCTCTGATCTTCTGAATGTGCGCATCCATTTCCTCCTTGAATGTCTTTTGTTCACTTTCCCATATTCCCTCTCTAGTGTCGACTGCATCATCATCAAATCTGTCTTCAGCAGGGTCAAGATCGTCATCCATTATGGGTTCAGTGGGACCAACGCCCTCTGCCATTTCCGCATGGTCGTTGTCAAGGCTTTCTGTTTGGAGCGGAATTAAAGCGGGGTGCGACCAAAAGGGTGTTGTCCGATTTCTCATCACTTGAAGGAAGAAGACGGGGTTAACCGGCTGGAAGGATTGAACAAGGTGCTTGCAAATCAGAAAACGGCTGATAACGAATTGGGGACAGGTGCAAACAAAGCGTTCAGTATCAGGGCAGTATTTCTCTTTCATCAGGACTTCTTGAACTGATTTTTTCATTGCTTTCTTCCAGTCAGCTTTGAAGTCCTTCCTCCAGCTTGGCAGCTCTCGGAACCGCCCAATGTCGTTCAGCATGAGATCAACATCAGTAATTGAGCAAATCAGTTTCCACGGGTTTCTCAACCCTGGCAACCTCCGAAAACCACTAAAAACCTCGAAACATTGAAAAATATTGAAACTTGGCAACCTATGTGTCCTTTGTTGGAAACCCGCCGCCCAAATAGCGTAAGATGCACACGTTCACTAGTCCCTGACCGGCGAGACCCTTAGACTATTCCTTTTCAGGTTTCCGGACACCCCGGCAACTTCCAAAACCAGTAAAACCCGGAATCTATTTTGCCATCTTACTGATGAAGCTTCCGGTAATATGTCGGCGCCAATTTTTTTATCAAGACCCACGCGAGCAAGTCTAGCCTTGGTAGGCTAAAATGATGGAGGTAGTCTTCTTTGACACGCCGCCAACTGCAGTGAGACAGCGTGTGAGTACTCGTACCGTTCAATGGAATCCACGCAAAAATCAACTTACTGCGCTTCCACCATCATCGTCGTCTTCAGTCGTGGAATTTCTACAGGATTTGCAGATCTTGACCATAACTCCCAACGTCCACGACAATACCAGTTCTCCCAAAGGTAACCCCAAAGGTTTGGCAAGCTGTGATCAACACAAAATTCATAGATTTGCTTCACAGCCCATGCCTTGATGCCTTCCGGCATTGGCGCTGAATACCCGGGAATGAGCGGGTGTGCGCAAAAATGGCGTTCCATCATGTTTACCATGGCATCCCGATGCTCTGGAGGACAAAAGGTACGACGCGTAGTATTGGCTTCATCCCCTGACTCTTCGTTTTCAGGTGACGTTGGAGCCTGACCATCACGAAGAGTCGAAAGGAGTGGAATTCGTATTTTGAGGCTTTCAGGGTTGCAGTCTGCAGGGGCTGGTGTCGGCACAATACTTATCACTCCCCCACCTATTCCTACTGGACTCCAGGACTCCAGTAGGATTCCTACTGGATTTTGACAAAATTTCCAAAAAGGCATTTTCACATATTTCTCCATTCCCCCTCCTACTGGACTCCTACTGGACTCCTACTGGACTCCTACTGGACTCCAACTGGACTTAAACAAATTAGATGAAATGCTCCACACATTGAAGTCCTACTGGATTCCTACTGGATTCCCACTGGAATATCAACTTCAATGTATTACCAAGTCAGAACTTCAAATTTCTATTCAAAATTCACATTTAAACAAATGTTGTATTGTGAAATGACAACTAAATACAGAAAGATATTTTACTAATGTAATGAGGGAGGGGGAGGGAGTGATGGAGTGATGGAGGGAGTGG